ATGAGGATAGGAACATAGATCATAGACCTTCTAACAGTTGGGTCAGGACATCTTCCCTGATCCAGACAAGGAAGTCTACCTGTTTCTGGCTCAAGACCATGGCCTTCCTTCTCAAGACACAAGACCATGGCCTTCAAACTCTGCTCCAGAGAAAGCACGGCCTGATCAAGGATAGGACCACATCATCTGCAAAAAGCAGAGACGTGATCCTAAAGCCACCAAAACGCCCCTCAACATCTTGGCTGCCCCTAGAAATTCTGTCCATAAATGTTAACTGACGATATTGTGGACCAAGCTTTGACTCCGGTCAAACAGAGACCTAACAGCCCAAGTCAAAAGGCCCTTTTCCACTAGACTTTCCACTAACTGCTTTGGTCAAAGTACCCACATTGCTACAGATAAATCCCCAATTTATCCATCTCTTACTCTATCCACCCTTCATTCATATACAGTTTAAGATACAAAGTTACTTGAACTTCTCCATAACATCATACATAGAGGAGCTGACTTTCATCCTGGCTCTTTAACACTCAGCTATGAACCTCTCTCGTACACTCTAGAGATCATGGTGAACTGATGCCTGCTGAATAATGATCACCATGTGGATCTGGTTGACTCTTCCATGCTGATAAAGGTAATACTGATCCTCTTTAGTCAAAGTTCAACAATGTATCGTAGTCTCTTTCAGTTTCATTTAGTTTTATCACACCATTTCTAATCAATGTGTACAATATTAACTGAGTTATAAAATATAATTGAAAAGTCATAAGACATAGGAACACAGATCATAGACCTTCTGACAGTAACCAAGTGTTCACCTGAAAGGTCAAACTGTAGAATGTTCAGGGAACACACTACACACTACGTCTCAAATGGTAAAGGCTAAACACAGCATAGCATGTTAAACATTTAGGTTCATAACAGTAAGTTCAGAAAAAAGTTCTGCTGTTTAGGAAAGGTTGACAGGACAGTGGCTTCTTTCTAATTAGAACTTGAAACCACACCTAAGCTTTTTTACGTTTTGTAAAAAATTGTAGTCTGGCCTGTGAAGCTTTTAAAGAGGGCAGTCTCAGTACTGTGGTGAGCACAGAAACAGGACTGAAAAACATCAAAGGGATTGGTCATTTTTAAGAGTTATTTAACTGTTTAAACATTTGGAAGATCAGGGTTTGGCCTGTAATTCTGCATTTAGCAACTTTGTTGGTGCATTGTTCTTTTTTACTAGAGGTTTCATAACTGCTGTTAATGCCTTGGAAAAAAAAAAAAAAAAAAAAAAAAACACACACAACACCTGACAAGAGCTATTGACACAGCTTACTCGCATATGGTACTAAGATGGACTAAAATATACTACTAAAAAGCTTGCTGATAACTTGGTTGGGCTACCGCGACTTAGTGATACTGAATATCTTTGTATTTATCTAAAAGAGATGAAGATAAAATGAGTGGACCACTCAATGAACAGACAGGTAGTACTGACTGCAAATTAAAACAAGCTGATGAATGTATGCATATTGTGACATATTGTGTCAAAGCTCATGACATGTCATTTTGCAATAAACAGTTTGTATTTTTGAGCATGCTTTAAAAACAATACAAGCGATATGTGGAATGTCTAATTGTTTCAGTAAAGGAAATCTTTTCAAATCAAGAATTACCCTTAGTCTCTAATTTTCATCTTCTGAAAGAAAAAAAAAACTTGAGACCACAGAAAGTTAGACATAACAATAAAACTCTGTGAGGAGTCACATTATTTAGACTAATCAACCTAAACTCCTTAGAGCAGTTTGGGTTTCCAGCATAAGTTTCCATGGTGATAGAGGTAAGAAGGGAACCAATGTCATGAAACTAAAAAACAAACCTTTGACCTGATTGAGCAGAGTTAGCTTAACAAACCACTAACTTTGCTTCATAGTACAGGCCCCTAGGCAGCTTACAGTGAGTGAACTGATCAAGAAGTCTATATACCAAAATATAGGGCAATCTGTCAGACAGCTGAAAAGTCATTTCAATCTGGGTCATGCACAAATTAAAGCAAAGTCACGATCAATTACTTCCAGCTATTGTAGCTACAAGCTGTTCTAAAAATGTCTGAAAACGCCTCAGATGTATTTAGATTTTTGTACATTGCGTTTGCCTTTTGTGTAGCTGTGAATTTTAAAGATAGGATTCCATGGGTTCTAGCACTCTGGCAGCAGGTTTACTGAACATCTTGGCTTGTACATTTATGAGGGAAAACATAAAGATTATCAAACATCTATAGGATTCACCTGTAGCCACCTGTGATTCCAGAAGAAAGAGAAACACCATGATGTACAACAAATACATGCACTCAGGTGATCTTCATTCCAGTCATTGTGAGAATACGAGCACCAACTGGCTGGACTGGCTGTTGAAATAGGTCAGTTACAGAAGGGAGTAAATATCTGCGCAATCACTTATTTTATGTTACATATTTTGGTTGAATCGTCGTTATTTTTTGTAAAAATTGGTTGCCAGTTTGGCATGAAAAGCTTTTTTGGTCATTTGTTTTTGTAAGAAAAAAAAAAGCCAAATTTTGTTGATCATGATTATTAAGTAGTCAAGTAGAAAATGTTATGAATCCCTTTGAGATTTTCCCTTAGGGAAATTGTCATCTCCATCTATGACACAACTCTCTTACACATATAAAAAAAACACATTTTTAAAACAATGAATACTTTTTATACACACTGTATTTGAAATTAAAGCAACTAAAACATGCAAAGCTAAAACTAAAGTGGATGAGAAACAGGATTCATGTTCCAGTAATACATCTGTGTAATTGAGGCAAGTCTTGTTTTTTTTTCTCATGCCAAAAAGAACGTTGAGACAGGGAGAGACATCTTGAGAGAGAAATGAAAGATTCAACAGTATCAGGACTTTATAAACGCCAAAAGAAAAGTGCTCACACACACCCTACCTAAGGTTTCCCTTTCTTTTCACCTGCCTAGTGATTTCTCACCTCTGACTTCACTTCTCCTTCCCTAATCCATCATTTTTCACTCTCCCACTCTGCCTCCACACAGGCGTCTCAATCTCTGTTGGCCACAGAGTCCCAGAGTGGAGCAGCTGAGGACAGATCGGTTCAGCAGGACATGTTTTAGCCCGAGGCCAGAGTAATGATGGAAACCAGACCAGATGCCTCAACGCCTGCAGCACTCAGCCTCTGTTGTGCCTTACATCCTGACAACATGAGGAAGTCATTGGGAGTCCCACAGCTGTCATTCCCAGTCAGACAAATCTGTTAGGGCTTCAGTGATGAAAGGGTTTACACTTTTTAAGTGGACACATGCAGTTATCTCCCAAGTTTTACAATGAAAGTGACGCCCGAGAGCTGTTGGGTTCTACATTGTTTTTACTTTTGTTCTGGAAAAAATGAAAAAACTAGTCGACAACTACTGGCAAGAAAGCCAGTTCCCCACAGGCTGCTGTTGCTGCTTCTGTCTGCTGACATCTCACATTTGACATAATTGGATGCTGATCTTGTCTAAGCAAACTTTTTTTTTAATGTCAAACTCTAAAATGGTAAAAACCTACCAGCAAACATAAACTGACATCAAACCCTTTGTTTGGTCAGTTACAGTTTTCTTCTCCTTTGCTGTTTTTTTTTTTTTTTTTTTTACCACACTTGCTCTTTTTTTTACTGTAAAATCTAATATGAACCAACAAGCACACAACAGCTCACAGTTTGTTGAAAAATAGTACACTTAAGGAAGAATACAATACATTGAAAGGAAGAATACAATACATTGAAATTAGACATAGTACAATGCAACAATATGAAAGCTATCAGAACCTGTGGTTATCAATCATTCCAGAGTTTAAGTATATTGTGATTCAAGCGGGGATCCTACAGAGGCAATCATCCAGCATAACAATATAATCACCTGCCAGTTTTACTTCCCCTTTTGCTTCAAAAACAGTCCTGATTCGCTAAGACATTTGGCTCCATTAGGCCTGTGATGTGGCATGTGGCTTCTGGGAATAAGATTTCAGCAGCAGATCATTTCAATATTGTAAGGTAGGGCCTCCGTGGATCTGAGCTGTTTATCCTGTATAGTCCAAAGACTGCGAATTGGATTGACATGTGGACAATTCAGAGGCAAAATCAAAACCTGACCAGCCTGGTGTCCTGAAAGTTGGTTAGTCACCAAGAAAGCTGCATGGTGGAACATAATTTTGCTGAAACAAGTGGTTTAAGTGGTAAGTGGTATGCATCAAAATAACATCCAAATGCAATGGCGGGCAAACATTTTCACTAATGTGCTAACAGCAGAGCTAATTTTGCACTTCGCGCATGTGCTAGCTTTGAAAACGTTTAGCACACTTAGCTTCCCCAAAATGATGATTTTTTTTTTTTTCTGATCGCTTCCATGAATTCAAAAGGACTGATTTACTTGAATGTTTTATAATGTTTCAGTTCAACATCAGTGTTGAAGTTCTGGGTCTCGACTGTTAAGAAATCTTCAGGTACTTAGATTCATAAGTACCTGAACTGAAGAGTATGAATTCTCTTAGCTCTTTTAAACTAACAGCATTTATGCTTAGTTTGAAATGGGTGAAAACTAATTTCAAAAACATACTGACATTGTCCAATGTGAGATATTTATACCAAGTGAGACTGTTCTCTTGTCTGCAAAATTAGTTATACTGATAGAACCTTCTTTGAGAGCTCACCAACCTCTTGCACTAATTTACAATGTTCTCTAAATATATGATTAACCTAAAATCCGGTAGGCCATAGAAAGCAGCAGGGGCTGCAAAATCTCAGCCATCCATCATTTACCTGCCTACCGATAAGGATTTAAAGGGCCGCCAGTCTCTGACCCCCATATTACAATTACATACACACGCACACACACTTTTGGGAAGACTGATGACACAATCTTGCAGAGTCAGAAAGTGGCACTCTGAAGACCAAGCAGTCATTGCATTTAACAATGGGAGCGTGACTTTGAATTCACATCAGACTGACAAACCTCCGCTGCACTGCTCATGCTGTCCTGGCCCTCGCTGGCCCGCACCAGGAGCAAATAACGATGTTGGTCACTCTCGTAATCGATGGTGCGGGTCAGGCTGATTTCGCCCGTGTCTGCCGAGATGGAGAACAGACTGCTGGGATTGATGAGGAGGCTGTAGCTGATTGGTTTCTTTTGGAAGGACACAGCAGGTGTCACCAGAAACCTGGGGAAACAGAAGGAGAGAGAGAGCTGGTAATCTATTCCTGCAATGAGATTTTTATAGAGCAGAATACAAACAAATACCCCAATAACCAGTGAACGGTTGGGCCTCAGTGACATATGGCCGTGAGAAGCCAAACGTACACTAGCAGAAATATTTTGCTCAGAAAATATTTATTTAAACGGTATTGAAAGTACATTCAATTCAATTCACAAATAGTTTATCCCAAAGAGAAACTAAAAGTTGTCATGACTTCTATCATCCAAGTGTCTTTCAAGATTCATGGATGTTGATGATACGGACAGGAAGAATCACCAGTTTCCCAACAAATCTGAAGAAGCCTCTGACTGAAAACACTGTTGACAGTCACGACCATGATGACATGCTAACAGCAACAGATACGAAATTCCACAGTGACATTGCCTGGATGACACCATCAGTTGTTGGCAATTCCAATCTCTATCTGGTAGTATGGTTAGGAATCTGAGCAGAGAGACGATGGAGTGAGGATATGATATTTATCCTTCATGGTCGCTAGAAGACATGGCTTAAACGTCCTCCTTCCTTCTTTTTCTGCTCCTTTCTCCTTCTCTGAATCTATGAAACCCCATTTTCAACTTTTCTGGGTGAGGAACCCTAGGAGTGTTTCCTTTTGTTTGTTTCATGTTTTTCTTATGTGCCCTGCCTGACAGTGTAGCAATCAGAATTGTTGTCTTACACAATCTTGTAAGACGAGAGGCCTAACAGATTTTAGGTTCGGCCTTAAGGGATGTTGTTGATGACGTATTTTGGCTTTTTTCTTTTCACTCGACTTACTTTAATGAGCAACGATGAAAGGTATTCTGCAACAGAAAACATTGGTACATTTTTTGGTACAAGTATTTTTTTTCCCCCTTTGTGTTTTTTCCCCCTTTGTGTTATGCTTGATTGCTTTTCAAACAATCAAGCATATTGTTTTCTCAGAGCACTCTTTTTTCTTGGCCAAGGTGAAACTTTAAAAAAAAGGCTTAAACCAGTGCTTCTCAAACTTTTTAAAGATAAAATGTTAAATGGGAAACAGTTACACCACCATTTAACAAACGCTCACGGCCACATAATTTGAAATTGCCTCTGCATTAACACAATATGATTTGACGATATTAGTCTCTGCCCTGCGATAGACTGGCGACCTGTCCAGGGTGACCCCGCCTCTCGCCCGTTAAAAGCTAGAGATAGGCACCAGCAGCCCTCCAGACCCCAGTGACAAGTAGTTCTTTACTATAGGTGTTCTGTGCACTAATAATGTTTTAGGGTCATTTGTACATTAGTAGTATAATAATTATTTTTAAAAAGAGTGACTTGATTTGCATTGACACAAACATTTTTCTTTCAGCCAGCCTGTGACATGCTGTGTATCGTAATGGTGTTCAAAAACAAAAGATCTGCAACTCACCCTGAGAAACTTTTCACAGGTTCTTCAGGTTTTCTTTTTAGTCTTAAGGAACTTATCCGTTATTATTTTTAATCGCCGTCCTTTAAGCTAACTGTAGCGTCGCACTCAAAGCTCGTGTCACGACAAACAACCGTTTGTTTTCGTGTAGTACCTCACTGTCCACTAGGGGGATCCCGCGAACCGACAGTGATCCTGGGGCCACAGTTTGAGAAAGATTGGCTAAGGCCCAAGTTATGATTCTCTGGAAACATGTTTTTACTAGTTATTCTTGAGATATATATACTCAGGTGTAAATATTCCTGTTAAAGTCCTGGCTTAAGAGGCTAAAGGGGCAGTACTATGTAAAATCAACTTTTTTGAGCTTTACATCAGGCTGTATTGTTATTCCCGCCCTCATCAACATTTGGTGGAACTGCACATCTGCTGAGATACTCAGTGCAACACTGGTAAAAACGTTAAAGGGTTAATGGAGAAGACGTGTTGTGATGACTTCCTGAAGAGAGTTTTGAGACAGTCAGACGCCCAATTTCAAGGCGTTAAATTACAAAGTCAAATTTTTTATTTGACTTTGTCATATTTGACATGCAGCATTTTTTATAATAACTGAAGGTAACATAGTTACTTAATTGTGCTATAAAATGGCACTATGTGTCTCAAATTTGCATAGTACTGCCCCTTTCAAAAAATTAGAAACATCAAAGCTGTTCATTTGTTTCTAATTAAAAATGTAAAATAAATAAAAACATCCAGTAACCTGGATAACCATAGTAAAAGAAGCACCTTTTACTATGTTTCACTTCGTGAGTTCACATTTTGCCAAAACCTGAATCTGTGGAATGTGAAGTAAAATTCAGCTGTTCTCATAGGATTCATTGACCGCCGTGACTGTGGCTCAGTAGGAGAGTAGTCGTCTTTCAGTTCACAGGTTGTGTGTTTGATTCCACCTTCCTCCTGACCTGTCAATGTGGCCTTGACCCCAACCCCAAGTTACCTGGTGTATGAATGTGTGTGTGATTGAGTAAATGTGCAGCTAGAGTGTTTGGCTTGGCTAAAATATTTGGTTGTTGTCCGCTCAGTTGCTTCCTTTAACACCATCATTGAGAACGAGATGCCATCCCACAGCAGTGTGTGACCAAGCTGGTGACTAACAGTTCTTCCACACATTGGTGTGGCCCATTTGTTAAATAAATTAATAGCTACATTTTCAAAACTTCAATTATCCAACCAAATAAACACCAAACAAAAGTCTACAGCAGGATAAATCATTTGGCGCTGGCAGAAAGGATTTGGCAGGTTTTTCATGGATGCAGCACAAATACTTAAATCTGCTGCTCAACTCACAAATGCATTTTTTTTAACAAATATGGCAACGTTTAAAAGGAATTACACAAGCTTTCCAACAGAAGAAGATTTATTGCCAAGAAACAAAGAAAAATATCAACAAAAGACAAATGTTCTTATCTTCATTTTTTTTTTACTTTTTACTTTTGATAAATTTATTAAGGAAACTATATTTGAAAGTTTTTATAAAACTTTTTCAGACTATTTTTATTGCTCCAGTTTTATCTTTGAAAAGATCTTGTCTACTTTAATGTTAGAAAAGATCGGCACATCAAAGAGCAAAGATACCAGCACAGGAGAACAGAAATGATCTAAACATTATTTCATCAGTGTGTAAGAAAATTACACGCCTCAAGTTTTGGACCATTTCCCTGCAGTTTTACCTTCTTTTATGGATTGGACAACATTCTACTGCCTTTACATTTTTTTCCTCTGTATCTCTAAATTCTCTGAGAACTGCAGAGTCTAATGTTGAACAAACTGGGATGTCCACTCCTGACCAGATAAGGAAACTAGCTCGTAATAAAAGGTTCAAGAAGATTCTTTCCCACTGCAGAATAATGGAACGCATTACTTTGGAAATAAACGTACAACTCTACCTAGATTTATGAACGGCTACAGTTACTTCTTGCATTATATTACCTTTATGGAGGCAACGTTCAATCTAAGGCAGTTTATCATTTTAATAAGTGATACATTCAATTTAAAGCCTACATGAATTCCAAAACAAATGTTTTATATTTATGACAGAACTGAAACAGTGCAAAAATAAAATACTGATGTTGAGGTTTTAGATAAATACTGTAGTTCCGGTTTTCCGGGAAGAAACTCGGCTGTTGCAACTCCTACTGGCTCCTAATTTTAGTCGTCTGAAAATCCAACTTGTGAAGAGAAATTTCTGATAATTTTATGTTTTTCAAAACAGACCAGGTGAGTTAGAAGTGTGAGCTGCAAAGACATCATAAGGAACAAAATGCGGCAGGTTAATGACTGAGCCTATTCTCCTCTACAGCCGCAGCAGGAGAATGAGCGCTGCACATCTGCACCATGTGCACGACTGGCTAATGAGAACAGTTTTTAAGAAATGTAAAAAAAAAAAAAAAAAAAAAGACAAAGATTAATGCATACTGCAGCATATTCTTGACTCGCCACAATTAGCACAGAAGAGATTATCTGCTCACAACCAGCCACAGGAACTGTTTGGATAACAAAAATTAATATACAGTTGAAACCAGACCATTTAGAAATCCTAATGGTCTTCTAAATGGTTTGAGTCTTCAAACACTAATTAAGAATTGGAAAATGAATTGTTTTGTTGAAAGGAGGCCATGGTCAGGTAGAACAACAAAAATATGCTCAGGATGAAAAAATAAAATACACACAAACACACAAACACACACACACACACACACACACACACACACACACACACACACACACACACACACAAATTGTCGTGCAGCTGTTTGAAGGGGCACAATAAGGAGACACTTGGGGAAAATGGGCTACATGGTTGAGTCGCTAGCAGAAAGCTGTTACTAAGCCAAACAGCACAGAAACAAGCCTAAAAATGTCTGGAGCAATGAGACCAACACAGAACTTTATGGCCACAATCATCAATGTTACATGTGGAGAGGTGTCAACAATACATGTGAAAAGCATAAATCACTGTGAAGCATGGCGGTGAATCAAATCAGTGATAACAGCTGCCTGTTGTCAGAAAATACTAGAGAAAGACTTAAAGAGACAGTATTATGTATTTTCCAGGCACATAGTGTCATTTTATAGCCCAATCAAATAACTAGGTTACCTTCAATGGCAATAAAATACTACATAAATCAAAAATAACTTAGAAAAAATTTATTTAACACCTTGAAATTAGATCTTTGTCTCTTTAAGAAGATCTATCTAGATCCAGCACTCCACTTTCAGCATATTATCACAACATTTTTGATAAGCAAATAATATTATGATATAAATCACAAAAAAGCTCAAATTTACACAATACCCCTGTTCAAATAGAGCTGATACTTGGAAATTTCAACACCAAGTCAACCAACGCCATTGGCAACATGACATTACGAAGTGAAGGTTGTGGATGGTCTTCTCAGATTTATGACCTCTGCTTCTCTAAACCACTTTTGGGAGATCTCAAACATGCAGGTCATGCAAGATCCTACAAGAATTTACAATGAACTGGTGACATTTTGAACCAAAATTCATATTGAACTGGACCGACAGCAGTATTTTGTAAATGTTTAGATCATTTCATTTGCATCACTAAACATAAGTGACAGAAGGGATTTTGCACTTTTTAATCAGTTAACAGTGGAATATGTAATCTGATCCTTAGCAGTTCTCCCTGATCTGACTGTTCGGATTATTATCATCTTTTTTTATTTTATTTTATTTTGCTGTTCACCAGGAAATGGTTTGCTAAGTTAAGTGAAGTTGCAACAACAGCATGAACACATAATGAGATCTCAAGACACTGATATTTCACACTGTGAATTTAACTGAATTAAATGTGCGACTTGCAAATCTAACAGCAAGGATCAGTTATTGGTTTCAGTCTAGCCTAGTTTAACACTTCTTATTGGAAGCACTTTGTGTTAGAAAAGATAAAGAATGCTGTTGAAAACATGGTAAATAGTGACACTGCAGTGCACTGAATTACGATAAAGTGCTTCTAGTATTTCATCACAGTGCAGAATATTACACCGCTGTTAAATATAAACACTAGAAAACTTGAAAAAATTAGGTGTCAAACTTTGGTAACCAAGACAGAATGAAGCTTAAATCTGCTCCATCAGTGGACTTAGAGGCAGTTCATATGCAGTGGAAAGTTATACTCTACAGCATGTTGATTATAAGGCAGCCTGACATTAAACTGAGTAAAATGAGCCTTGAAAAGTTGACACAGGCCATAGAGAATAATTCACACTATTTGCACTTTGGAACGAGTGTCATTTGAATTCCTTCAAGACTTAAAGTGACATCCATTTATTACTGTGTGCCCAACTCTTGAGTTTAATGACAGAAGCCAATAAAAAGCATTCACAGCACATTAAAGTTTGTATTAGTCATCTATATGTCTGGCTTTACGACGGGAGTATTAAATTGAATAAGAATAATCACTCCTCCGTCTGCTGAGCCAAACAAGGCTGCTGTACAAACTAAAAAAAAATAAATAAAAAAACAGAAGAAAATCTCCATATGCTTCATCACCAGTGGTTTGTTTACTGGGCCCATGTCTGCCACATCTGTTTGTGTTAGATTAAGGCTCTTTCATGGCTGCTGGAGAGAATCTGCTGCCATTCTAGCGCATCTGTGTCCAAGCAGGTGCCCTGGATTACACGTGAACCGACGCTGATGGATCAGCAGGTCATGTCATGGTTTAGGGACATATGTAAAGCTCCTAATTTGGCCTTATTAATGCAGTTATTAGTAATATTATTATTATTATTATTATTTTGTCTTTTCTTCACTCCTCACATATTTCAGAATCAACTAGTTTGTTCCATTACCTAGTTGTTGCATTGTTCAAATACAGTCCTGATTTTATGATTGCTGCATTGTCTAAAAACAAGTTGAACATTTCTCTCTGTCAAACTGCATATTTGTAATACCCTAAGATTATAAAATAACTATGAAAGTGTGGATGTTTGCAAAAAAAAATATAAGTAGACTCCTGTAAAATTGAAGGGACTCCTCTGATTGGAATACAAACATTTCAAATTGAAGGGGGCATATTATGTTGTTTCTAATGGTGCAAACCACAAAGAAGAAGACGACAGGAAGTAGTTGGAGATGATAGCGTAGGCATGTTTTTAGTGACTTATCACATGAACAAACTTATTCATGTGTGATTTTAATTGTGATTTCTATTGAATGGAAACACTGCAATTGCAAAATGTTATTTATTTTAGGTTTTTTTTTTTTACATCAGTAGAACATTGACATTTTGTGCACATTTGTAATGGAAACGCAGCAATAAATACTTTTGCAAGGCCCTGGTTTATGATAACAGAGAGCTGGTGTAGGAACTCACGGCTGTCCTTCCGGCGTGTTTTCCGGTATAGCGATGGTGAAGGAGGCATTAGTAAACTGCGGTGGCCGGGCTCCAGCCACCACAGATATGATGGCAGGGGCACTGCGGCTGCCCAGCCCGTCGGCTGCCACCACCGTCAGCAGGTACTCTCTGTCACGCTGCAGAGGAAGCCCCGTCGTCCGTATCTGGCCACTCTTCCTGTCCACTTCAAATCGACCATCGCCACCTGCACATAAATTGGTGGACAAGACACTGAAAATCAGTGGAAAAAAAAAGAAAAAACACAAGCAGCAACAGAGCTGAGCTGCCATGATGGAGCGCTCTGCAAAGCCATTTCTAATGCACAGTTGGACACTATGAATGACAGGCGGCTTCATTTTGCCTCCACCTTGATGCTACAGAAGCTGAATATGAAGCTTCAGAGCAACTACATGCTAAAGCATTTTAATCAAGAAGTCTTGATTAAAAGAAGTCTACCACCATGGTAGCTCATCTGGCCCTCCACCAGCACAGGGTCGGGTTGTTGCTGAACATCCTCTGATTCTGTGACAGCTCATGGGTCTTTCCGTCATTTCTGACTTGTGGACTGTTTGAGAACACACTGACATATGCAGGACTTTAAAACGTTGTCAGTGAGCGGAGCTGCCAGCTCTAACCCATTCAGCAGGAGAACCGTTTTGCCACACAGTGGAAAATGTCCACAATGGATAAGCCGCAGAGAGAACCCCCACACTATCGACGTCTCTGTGTTTTCCTAACTTCTTTGGAAATATGGATATTCAATATCAATTTCAACACTAAAACCAAAATTACATCCAACCCTCGCATATTTAGATTCAGAATTATTCAACAAAGATATTTGTTTCTGATAGAGAAATAAGAAGAGGCATTTTTCAGAAGATAAAAAGCGATAAAAAGATTATTGTTCTTTGGAAAAAGGGAGGATTTCTTTTTACTTTTTATTAAAAATTAAAACTCAAAAATGATGCAGCAAATAACATTTGTTTTACACCCACAATGCACCACTGTAGAACTACACCCTATAATTCAGTTTCTCTCTCATGTTCTGCATGTTTTCTAACCAAAGCGATAGTTAATAAGGCAAAATCAGCAACAGAGTAAGCAACACTTTAACAACTATGAAACTGGAGCCATGGATGAAAGGTGCTAGTTTGTTTTGAGTTGTTTTGGAATTTATTTATTGATTTATTAATTTTAGTTATTATTATTCTGCTTCTTGGTCTCTTTCTTTAAACCTTGTTTCTATTTTACTTAAGTGATTATTTATTATTTCTAATTATTCTTTAATGTTACAATAATTTCCTAGTTCCCACTGTACTCTTCCTTGCCCCATGTCATTATCTCTCTATCTCTCTCCTCACACCTGCAAACCATTTCTAATCTGTTCCTTGTTCAGTGATCAAGGTCCCCAGTATAAATAAAACTCATTCTAAGTGACTCCTTGCTGATTCCGCCCATTAAATCCCATTTTCTTCCACATAATTTCCTTGCTGTTATTGTTCATGGATTCCTGTTTTTGTTCTTGCTCTGGCTCCCTGTGTTCCCTGTGGTTTTTGTTCATCCTTTTTTTTTATTTTTATTAAACCTTCATTTACTTGATGCCTCTGCCTCTCCACATTTGGGTCCACCTTCACCATACTGAATCATAGCATGTCTGCTCCAAAAAAGTCAGTTCCTAAAGGCATAACTTCAGGAAGGAATTTGCAAAACAAATTTGACCCTGGCGAGGGTTATATAATTTGTTGTAACACATGATGTGTCAGTGACACATGACGGATCACAACATGGCTGAATTGAGCGTTTCAGCATTAGCTTTTGTGAAATAACATATTGGTATAATACTTTAGTCCTAGTGGAACTAACATTCATGATTAGTACTGTAGTGCTAGTGCAGCTACCTTTACAGCAGCTAATATTATGGCCAGCTAAAACATTAGCTAAACATTTTAGTTAGTTAAAAAAGGTTAATGCCTCTACCTTTTTAGTTAGGTAAAAAGTTAAATGCACTTGTTCTAGTTAGCTAACTAAAAAGTTAGCGCCACTTACCCTAAAGAACTACTGATAACATGATGAGTTTAAAGATTGTCCTAAAACTAAAGTCTTCATTACATTAATGCAAACATGTTGGAGTTGATAAATAAAAATAAACCTGCTTCAGTTTAATATGAAATGGGGAAAAAAAGCAACCTACCATCAGACAGGAAGTACTCCACTTCACCATTAAGACCTTCGTCTCCATCCTGAGCAATGAGTTTGTAGACCAGTGATCCTGCAGTCGCATCTGGGGAAACCACTGCAAGGTAGGGAGCAGGAACCATGCTCCATTCTGGGATGTTGTCGTTTACATCAGTCACAGTCAGCTCCACTCTAACCAGGTACCACTCCAAACCTAAAGGGCAAAGAAAAGACGCAGGCAGTTTAGAGTAGGTGTACTGTTGTGGCAGAAAGATAATATAATGGATAGTGAACAGTGTTTAAGGGATTTTTCCTTTTTCTTGCCATCACATTCTTAGTCTGTAACCTTTAACAGGTACTTTAAAATGTCACAGCGGCTGACAGTCTGCCCAGTAATTTAGCCAATGCTGATAATGTGGAAAAAAGAACAAGTGATGCAATGGAGGATAAAGGACAGGTAAGAACTTTTAAGGTTTATCAGTCAGCAGTAACTCCTATTATGGGGTGTGGGGAAGTTATATCAATGAGGGCAGGTGGGATTATCGCCTGGCTCTGGTGGAAATGAAGTTTCTTTTGCAGGTGAGAGAAAGAGACAAAATTCTATAATGAAAGTAAAAATGGTGGTTCGACATTGAAGACATCAAAGTTTTAACAACAGAAGTCATATTTTGGTGATAAAAAGAAAACAATTTACATATTACTTGCTAATTTAGGTTTGGCTGGGCATGTCTGAAAGGCTGTACATGGCAAACAACATATGTGTATGTACAGTATGTATATATTTTCCTTGCATGGTGGTAGAGTTAAGTAGAAAAGAAGAACTTATTCATGAAAACCAAATACCTAAACAAAAAAAACAAAACAAGTTAGGTAGTTTTAATGTTCACATTTCTTCAAACGAGAACCTTCTGAAAACACACACCCCTATGTTTGATGCACATTGCTCAACCATATTTAACACAAATTCACATTTGAGCAGTGGGTGAGACACTAGCAAAATAAAGAAAGGAGTTGGAAAACAGCACAATAAAAAAAAGTAAAGACATATTGGCACTAACATCAGTCTGATAATAGTCATTTTTTAACATATAAAAATTGGTCTCATAAACAAAGCTGGGTCAATATTAACAATCGATATTCTTGTTGCTGTTTGTTTAGGAAGAGGGAGTGCAGGGAGTTAGTTGGTCATGTGGTATTTGTCTGGTCATATAGTGATGATGCAATGCAGGACTGTGATGTGTTTAACTGAAGCAGAGAAGAAGTGGTCAGTGGTGTGGTCGTTTTTGTTCCAACATTTCCAAAAATTAGTTAAATATTTACATGTAATATAATATAATATTGGTAAATATTGGGAATGACAGCAATATTAAAATTGATATCGGCCCAAAATTTTACATTCAGTGCATCCCTTCAAAGAAATTTCTGAAAAATTTTAGGTAGACCAAAAATAGTCACACCCATATCAAAAATGACCAAATAAACACTATATCATAACATTATATCAGCAAAATTAGTTTTATTTTCATAAATTACAGTTTTATTTTATAATAAATAGACTTAATTTACTTGTGCAACTTAATCAACTGAAATCCAGCACAAAACATGATTAGTAAATGCAAAATACTTGAAGCGAACTCAGTCTGAGAGTTTTGGCTTAGAAAACAATCCAAAGTGCTGTAGAGGAAAAAGAGACTGATTGCAGTCATATATCACATTTTACCAGAAGTAGTTCTGGAGGATCAATTTTCATTTGTATAATAGACTAAATCATTCAACTTTTGTTTCAAAAATAAAAAAGTAAAACCATGACACTAGTATTTGTATTCAATGTCATTGTACTAACCCAGTCACACTTTATTTTTCGCTTTATTTTTTTAAGAAGAGACCAGAGGTCTATAATAAAAAAAATCCACAAGACAATCTCAGCATCTAAACTAGTAATTACAATCAGTGCACTTAAATGCATTGGGAATAGCAATCAAAAGAACACATCAGTTCACTCACCCTTTACACACACACACGCACGCACGCACGCACGCACGCACGCACGCACGCACGCACGCACACATATCAACACACACAGAGCACAGCTTTATTTACTAGTGACAGAAGGCAGGTGAAGGAATGATTTAAAGACAGGAATCAATAGACCGGCATTTTGGGATTTGATAGCTGCTAGGAAGACAAAACACTTTGTAAATTAAAAGCTTTGTATTGTTTGGACTTAGAAGTCACTAGAAAAGTTTCCAAAATTTCCCATACCCCTTAAAAGATTTTCATATTGTGTCCTCTAACTAACACAAAGATTTTATGTTAAATACCAGCCAGAAGTAGTGCATTGCTGTGTAGTATTAAATGAAACATAGTTTTGAGTTTTTCACAAATACAAATTTGAAAAGTGTGACGTGCATTTCCATTCAGCCCACCTGAAGCAATACTCTGTAGAATCAACTAGAATCACCTTTTTGCTGAGGTTAGAACTTCGAGTGTTTCGAGATGAATCTCTATCACCTTTCAACATATCTACAGCTCAAGTTCCAGCCCATTCTTCTTTGCAAAATAGCTCAACTTCAGTCAGACTAGATTTGTGAACACAATTCTTCGGGTCTTGCCATAAATTATGTTTTAGATTTGGGTCTGGACCTTTACCTGTTTAACTCTGTTTCAAGTCTATTGCAGCCTTCAACATGTTGTCTACCAAGATTGTCTTGCATCTCATCAACCTTGACCAGCTTCTCTGTAAACTGCCTAAAACAAATAGTCAAAATTATATGTTGATACGTACTAAAGAGGAGGAGGAGATATGCTCCATTATGCTTAATAGACCAAGCAAGGCTGGGCTGAAGTAGAACAGTCAAAGCACGATCACATTGATTTTTTTCTCACACACCTTTCAAGGTCCACAAGACACACCGAGCCGAGTTCCTGTCAAAGCCCTCCCTCTCCAGGATACATATGTGTGGTTTTCAGCAGTACAGTAAACACAGCGATCATGGCAGAGAGAATTGACTATTATGAGTTCACAAGTTAATCACAGCAGGAAATAATGGTGGACGAGCTGCAGCATCTCATTTTGTTTTACATGTTATCAGGGAAAAAAGAATGGAAGGCCTCGGTGGGACGTTCGCCTGCTCCATCAGGGGAGTTCAGAGTTTTGGTCCAACAGAACGAACTTCCTCTCGGCCTCGGACAATTGCTCTTCAAAACTATGTAGTCTGCTGTTTGGCTGAAAAAAGTGCTTCTAGAAGTCATATAGTTGGGGATGTTTTCCACAGCCACAGAATTCTGACCAATCACACAAGAGTTTCTTATGCAGAGGGTAATGAGAAGTTTGCCAGTGGCTTTGTATTAGGAAGGGGCCAATGACATGAGGCTGAAAACAAAATGACACAATTTTCGTCACCTGACGAAAACTGATTACGTCACATCCTCCCCATCCCTGATCAATCTGTTTTTCTTGGTCTTCGTGATGCCATTTGTTGTCTAATGTCCATTAACATGCAGTTGTATTTCAACTGGAAATGAATTACACACAGGTAAACTGTATACTAGTTAGGTAAATATTTAAGGCAGTTGTAAAAACGAAAGAATCCCCGTACATTAATGTTTGTGGATGTAACGTGGCAAAATGTGAAACATTTCAAAAGGCTGGGTATGTGTGGCTTTTCTCCAAATGGTTTTACCTCCACAAAAACACAGAGAACAAAGTGCTGTCTGAATGACAAGACACCACGGCGTAATGGAGAGCACAGCCGGAACGAAGGAAAACGAGAGTCGAGTGTCGTATGAACGGGATTAAGACCGTAGTGCTGGAAGGAGCTGAAAAATGACCCCACGGTTGTTATGGAAACTGAGAAAACAACAAAAAAAAGAAAATGGTGGAATTAAGAAGGGGATAAAAAAAAGCAGCAGTGGCAAGCAGTTGCATAAATCAATGTCATTAAAGAAGAGAGGATACTGTATAGGGGACCAATACAAGGAAAACACATAAGCAGACATCAAACGAAGACAGAAGAGCAGGGTTAACCAGCCACAGCTTACAATAAAATACATAGCACTGCACTTGACTCTGGGGTTCAAACAAAGAGAGTGTTGATAATGTCTCCCCCTGTTTCTCTCCGAGGGTGTAACAGATTCAAAATTAATTGGCTAAAGGACAATGCAGCTTTGGGGAAGAAGGGACGTCATTACCCAGATAATAAATCACCGGGCTAATATTCCGTATGCTTTGCCAAAATGCATCTCTCTTTCTGTCCCCTAACAATTTCTTTCTCTCGCTCTCTTTTCCCTCTCACGAACACTCATATATTCACACAAGCACTGCCTTTCTTACTAATGACAATCATCACTGGATTAGTTTGTAATGAAAGACCATAGGGAAATCCAGATTGATGCAATGGCCATCATTCACACTAATCCATTTTACTGGATCCAATATCCAGAGGAACAGTGGGAACTGGGATCAGGAACAGTTTTACTGGAGGCTTCTTCCTGGGCCTGTTTGCTACTAACATTTGCAGTTTAGAGGATGTCTAACTTATTTTTCTCTCATTTTGTTTTAGTTCATAGGTATACTATGAACAGCTGAAAAATTGTGTGCAAGAACTTCAATTTACATGCAACTACTGCAAAGTTGTGATACAAGAGGTGCAGCGATTGCAGTTTTTTTGGCCGATCACTGAACATAATCCTTAAAAATCCTGACCTGCAGATTCAGATATTGACCAATACTGTTGGTTTTTTTGTAAGTGAACAGCCTCTCAGAGCAGAGCAAAAGAGGACAGCAGTTGATTTTTAGACCATGCTGTGTTATTCTTATGTTATGTTTTTGCTTCGATGTTCTGTCACATGTTAGTCTGTCTGGATCCAGTATAGTTGAATTGATCGTTGCTTGCGCTCATTGGCTCCTTTCCCTTCATTCTTTCCTTTCCACCTCTTGTCGCTCCTTTTCTCCTCCTCCGCCTTTTCATTCTTATTATCAAACGCACATCCATTTTGCATTTATCAATACTAAATGCAAAGTTTATTATTAATAAACTCTCTTTTGTCTAGGTAGAGGTTAGCCAAGAAAAACATGAGTTTTATGATCCTGTTATCCAAAGCCAATGGCAGATCCCAACCAGATAACGAAGTTTTACCTGATATGGTCTTCCTCTCCACTCCCCCTTTTCCTGTGTTCTTCCTCCTCCTTCGCCAGATGGAGGAGGTTACTCT